TTGCCTTCTCTTCAGTAGAGATATTAAAACACAAAAACCATTAAGATTCCTGTCTGGGGGTTTTAAAATTTATGAGAATCTCTGGAACTGATTTTTTCAGGTAGTATTGGGTTAATCTAGCTGTAAACCTTAGTTGCGAACTTTTAACAAAAGTTATGACTCAAGGCAGTAGAGTCTTGGTTTTGGTACTTGGCAGTGATAAGTGTAGGTTTACAAAGTTATCTGCTAGATCCATGATGGAAAGATCTAGTGTAGAAATAAGACAGTTTGTTCCGTAAATGAAGAAAGCAGCAGTTGGTCTGAGGTGGAAAACAACAAAACCCACAGTATAGGTACATTCTTTGGGGATAGTGTAGTCTTGGAGTTGAGTATCTACAAGAAATTCCTCAAGTGATATTTAAAAGAAGTATACCCATATACTTGAGTAAAAGCCAGCCGGAATATCTGCCAAGGTACCTAATTTTGCCACCAAAATGGCATTAAAAACGTGCTGGCAAACTCGGCTTATACTCGAGTGTATGTGGTACTTGTTTAGATGGATTGGGTCCCTTAGGTATTTTGCAGAAAATCTAATCGCCCTCAGGTCCTTTACATCTTTTGCAAAAGGTAAATTTTAGAAGCTTTTAAAACATGTCAAATTAAACTATACACGAAACAACTCCAAGAAGAAAAATATACATGTTTATGTCACAAAGAAAAAAAATACAAGAGTGATTATATAATAGAGTAACACTAACCTTGTTTATACCTTTAATTTATTTTGTGTTATAAAGTACAGGGCCTCAACAGGAGAAAAAGTTACCCTACCACCAAAGGACTAAACAAATTTAGTCTGTTGTGCCAAGACAATATTGAGTTCTTGGATAATTGTATGCTATAAATTACAGTAAAATGCCAAAATGCAGCAAAATATCCCAACTATAAGTTACAAGATTGGTCACTTTGCAGTGTGACCTTTTGCTTGAAACCTCTAAGAAGGCATTCGTTTCTCTAGAATATATTAATGTTGTTGACCTTTCCTGTAACAAAATACTAACTTACAGCTCCTGATGGCCCTGCCATTATTTTCTAGACGTCGTTGTTGTCTCTTCTGCCCCTTGGATTATTTACTGGTTTATTAAGAAGCTAGCCTGGAAAGCTATGATTAACAGTTTCACGCTTATACCAAAGAGTTAAATCTGATCCTAAATAGCTGATATCTTGACAGCACTTCAACTTATACAGGATAATGAGAAGTGAGTCACAGAATTTGAAAATAAAGACTAGTTTCTCCTATGCTTTCAGTGGGGCCAAGGACCCATTACAAACAACTTTGCAAATGTGAATGCTTACACGTGGTCCAGAACAAATACATTGTAGACTGGATTTGAGATAGTTTATTTTCAAGCACAGGAAAAACAACTGAGAGTGATTGAGCGTCTTCAGAACAATTAGTGGAAATATGGTGTAAAGGTGGTTTTCATTTTCCTTTTGAGTTATTCTAAATATTACTGTACAAAGCTGTTAATGCCATTTTTTAACTTTAAAAATTG